AGAGAGAGGGACCTTTGACCTTTAAACTGGCCTTTATTGGGATCTATGTCAGCAGCCTTGATTTTTAATTCTAGAACATTCCACCTTTCTATAGGTCTTCTTCTTCAAGTGTCTCTTTTAAAGAGCTCCTCACACAGCAGTGGGCGGCCTCCTGCCACCAGATTCCACGGCTCTGAGAGACTGGTAATGTTTGCCTTCACTCACACACACACACACGTGTGTCGCTAAACAGGGCTCCTGTCCGTCGTTACCATGACAGCGGCAGCCATATGATCGTGGTTGGAAGAAAAACACCTAGAACGGATCAATGTAAACAGCAAACGTCGGCTGTGTCAACACCAGGAGGAGGTTGTCAGAGTTCCTGAGTTTTACACCAGTCTTTGAACACACCGTACCACGGCTCTGCTTATCTTAAACCTTCTCTCACAGAGAAGAAGCGAGGAGGATCAACCACACATGGGAGGGGAAACCTCACAGACACACACCCGCCAACACAAAATCAACCGGTGCTGCTACGACAAACTACCAGAGAAAAAGAAGTTGGTGAAAGCAGAAAAAATCTACTTCTAAACTACCAGCGCCACCACTGCTCCCAGCATGCAGTGCCAGAGAGAGCGAAATAGAGAGATCCAGACAGAGAGAAAGAGTAAATGACAGAGCAGCCATGTTGAATCGCAATAGACAAAAGGAAGAGTTTTTAGGGCAGAAACGATGGTTTTCTGATTATTAATGTTCATCATAAAGATCTTAAGTTAATAATTGGATGTTAAATTGCTCCCTTTCCATAATTGTGCGTTTACAATCAACCTGCCCCGCTGTGTGATAAATCAACTAAATGATGCCACTGACTGTGTTCATTACCTGCTCCGATACACAAACACACACTTGTTTTCCAAAGGAACGGCACCAAACGGGGCTTTTATTTTGACACAGCTAACGGCTCAAACACAACTTTTTAAGCGTCGCTTTAAATCAAACTACAATGTATGTGATGTTGATGAATATTTCACGAATGTTTAAGCAAAAACCCGCAAGGCTGTTTTTGGACCAGACTGTGTCTTCCTGGAGACCCTTGAGGGTCTGGAGAATTCCTCCTAGCATCCTCTCGGCAGACATGGATTCATAGCCTTGGAATGTGGATGAATGGTTTTCTGTGCACTCCTTCACATAAAAAAAACCCAACTTCCTTTTTGAAAAATTCTTTATGAATTTATCCAAAAGTGATGTGAAGGCCCCCACCCACACGGACACACAAATGCACTGCAGAGTGCTGCAAAAGGGAGGATATAAACAGTGAGGTAAGTTTGAAGCTGCTTTAGTTTCTGAGAGTTTATTGCTGTTTTCCTTTTCCATGTTCAACCGCTCGAACATCCCCTGGAGCTGGCCTGGGGCTCTGTCCACCGTGTGGGCTAGTGCACCGGTCTAGTCTAGAAACAGACTCGCTAAGTTCGTTCTCTTTAAGCCGCAGACAATTACGTGCTAGCCAAAGGTTTCAACAAAGAGATACTGTTTTTTGTTTTTTTGTTTTTTAGCCTCAGATCAAGAATTGGAGATTAAAGTTGCACTTGATTGGCTGTCCATATGTGTGTAGAAATGTAGTGGTGGAGAAGGCATCGATGCACCGAGCTCTCTCTTCACCAGATGTCATTAAAGTATTGACTCTGTGCCTCCAAGCAAGGTAGCTCACAGGGGGGAGAAAGGCAATATGATTATTTGTGCAGGTGACCAGGAAACAAGAGAGAGTCTGCCTGATAACTGACAGGCTGCTGCACTGAATATAACACTAGGTTCATGTCGGTTATTTAGGCTGGCTACAGGTTTAATATTTGAAGATATTTTAGTAGCAACTGCTCAATCACTACTAGTTTATTGACCGAGCCA